GGGCGGCCTGGAAAGGAAACTGAGGGGGGGGGGGATTTCCTGAAAGTCTGGCTTCTGCTGTCAGGTCTGGTGGTGTCCGTGCTTCCTCTGTGTAGCGGACTGGCTTTTCTGAAAAGATGGTGGCGTAGTTATTGGGCTTCCTCCTCGTTAGTTGCGGCGGCGTCCTCCTCGTCCTCCTTCGCTTGTTGTGATTGGGCTGTTGTAGTCTGTTCCACTGCTATTACTCCTGTTGTTCGTAGTGAGCAAACTGGTCAGCGAGAAACTGCTCTTTAATGAAACTGGTATGGAGAGAGTTTCCTGGGCGGGTCACTGTTAGCAGTCGGATTCTCCTGCTCTACTGGTGTATCTTCGAAATCGGAGGCGATTTCGTCAGCTGACTGTTTTGCGTCTCTGTTGACTGAATTCTGTTCTGAGTTATATGCTTCTTGGTCAGTTTCATCGCGGTTTTGTGGTTCTTCTGCTGCAGACACAATTTTAGCAATTTTGCCTGTTTCAATTGCCAGTTTTTGCTGATTTTCGTTGAATTCTTTCATTATGTCTCGAGCCGCGGTTAGTTCGTCTTGGACATTGGCGAATTTTTCATTTTAGGTCCTTTTCTCCTCATCCACAGCTATCACCTTATGGAGTTCTAGGACAGCAGTGAGAGTTTCGACTTTCAACTGTGTCAATTTGGTGATTTCGTTGTAGGCGTCCTCACGGGCTTGTTTGAGTTCTGCCATCTCCTTCCTTCGCTCCTCCCCTTTTTCTGGTAGGCGCCTTTTTCCTGCTACCTGGGACGTTTCCAACCTTGCGATTGGAGAGCTGACGCTTTTTTTAGTATTTGCGGCTTCTTTTTGGTTTTCGGTATGTTGTGCGGCTTGCACTATCCTGTCCACTTGCAGGGCTTTTATTTCTCCCAGCATTAGTGAAATGAGTTCGAGCGTCTCTTCTCTGTCAGTGGCAGCGGCAGTTTTGTCTTTCCGTAGTTCGGATTTCAATTCCGGCTACGTTCTTTTTCTCAGGTGCTCTGATTTTTTATTGTCGAGCAGGTTGGCTTCTCGGCTGATTTGTGTTTGTCAGGCTGGTTGGTTTTGGCGCCTGGTACCTTTATGTCGAGTCCAGACGGTGCGTGTTTCTTGAAACGACACTGGACTATCCTCTCTTCATGTCTTTGAGGTACAGGCAGCACAGATACCTCGCACTGTGAGCGCCTGTGCAGTTAGAGCACCGTCAGTTAATGTTAGGACTCTAGAAATCCTGGTCTAGTTTTGCCAGGGAGCACTCCTTAAAGTCGCGCGTCCCTGAGCAATATCGACATATAAACCAGCTACGACAGGTCGTGGCGGTGTGCCAAGCCTTATTGCACAGTGCGCACTGTAAATTATCTGGACTGTAGGACACCTGCTGCTGCTGATTCTTACGCATGTTGCTGTGTTTCAGAAGCCTTGTTTTCAGCTGTGTCACATCCGCAGTTTAGTTCTGCGCCACGATAAGGGGCGGCTTCAGGTGTTGGCACGACAGAACGAGCATTTGTCCCGGATTGTGTCAGGGTTCTGCGCTGTCCCCGGGCCTCTTTAATGTTTAAACGTGGCGAATAACCGACCAGCTATTAAACGGGAGTGGCAGGACTCCATTTGGTGATAACATTTTAGTCTATCGACATGAAAGAGAGACGTAAAATCAGCGCATCATGCGTTCATTGGGCATCTAAGCAGTAACATATAAACGCATGATGCGTTCCTTGGGACTCAAAGAGTTAAGGAAGCCAATGTAGCATTTGATACATCTGATAACCAATCATACACCACGCCAGCTGAGGCTTACTTCGTTGAAATGTATAATGTAAATGAAAGATGTCAGACTTGTATACAGTTTTACGACGAGGGCTACCTACCCTGTGTCTACGTGGTACCCGTTCAAAACGCTGGCATAGCATATGGCTACGGTAGTCTGAAGTTGTGAAAAAGGCAAATTAACGAGCAAACTATATCTGTCCTCAGAGGAACTGGTGCTACATTATCTAGGATACATCAAATGCTGGTTAAGTAGATGAAAGGATAGATACATATGTCAGTTGTCTTAAATTTGGAGGCAATATAGAGAGATATATAATTGCCAATGTGTTATTGAGGTCTCCATATATAGAAAAGGTTATAAGTGTAGCAGTGTTACCTGCTCCATGTGCGGGATTGATTGCTAGAACACTGTCTTAACAGTCATGGGTCAGTACAAACCATAGAGACAGTGGAGGGTATGTGCGTACAGAACGCTTAGTTGACGGACCAGTCATTACGGTGTAGGCATGACTGTTTCATGTATGCGTGCATCGAATCGTATCGTAGAAAGCAAACAAAATATCCAAACTGTAGTGAGTTCATTTTCTCCCCATTAATTTATGCCCGACAGATGACGTCAGTAATAAATGTAAGGGGAATGTTTTGACTGACTGGGATAACACGAGATTTGTGTCTGAGTTTCATGGGAGACATCTGAAAGTCAGGTTTTATGTGAAACATGATTGTTCACGTGAACCATGAAGGTTGACTGGCAGGCTTCGTGTGAAATGCGAATTATCACGGGCCAGACACGATTTTCAACGGTGGGGAATTCATAAGAATGAAATTATACAGAATATTCGAGACGAACATGACAGAGATCAGAGGGCTATATAATAGCGGAGAAAGGATTGAGAGGCAGTCTCGTTTAGGCCAAGGGAATGTGTACGTGAGAAGATGAAGTCCGGAAGAATGTTGGCGTCTGCATAGCGTAATTTCCCAATGCCTACCTGGCATGAAATAGCGGCTGACGGAAACGGTGGCCAGCTGTGAATGACTGTGGTTCTTGATAAGAGTGTTGATAACACCTTGGAGTTGAATTACTAACAATGATTCCTTGGAAATAGCTAATGAAAGCAGACCATTATACACAATGAGAAAAATACAAAGTTATTTGGTCGTGCGACGTAACAACTGGAAAGAAAAGGCAGAGGCAGACCGAGAGGAAAGATGGTGGATGGCTTAAGTCAGTGACTTGGAGAAATTTCATAAGTAAAAATAATCTATAACATTAAAGACCGAAATCTGCGGAAATACTTGAACGCCTACGCCAGCTAGCAAGGCACTTGATGACTTGCTGATGATAAAATTATATTGCTTTCCTATATCTTATACGAAAGTTTATCTTCCATTGCTCTGTTATTATGGTGCATCTTCCATCATTTTGCTATGGCTGTCCCTCTTCTATTATTCTACCATGGCTGTGCTCTCTTTCATTAGTTTACCATGGCTGTCCCTCTTCCATTAGTTTACCATGGCTGTCCCTCTTTCATTAGTTTACCATGGCTGTCCCTCTTTCATTTGTTTACCATGGCTGTCCCTCTTTCATTAGTTTACCATGGCTGTCCCTCTTCCATTAGTTTACAATGGCTGTTTCTCTTCCATTAGTTTACCATGGCTGTTTCTCTTCCATTAGTTTACTATGGCTGTTTCTCTTCCATTAGTTTACCATAGCTGTCCCTCTTCCATTAGCTTACCATGGCTGTCTCTCTTCCATTAGTTTACCATAGCTTCCCTATTCGATTAGTTTACCATGTTTGTCCCTCTTGTATTAGTTTACCATGGCTGTCCCTCTTCCACTAGTTTACCATGGCTGTCCCTCGTTCATTAGTTTACCATGGCTGTCCCTCTTCCATTAGTTTACCATGGCTGTCCCTCTTCCATTAGTTTAAAATGGCTGTCCCTCTTCCATTAGTTTACCATGGCTGTCCCTCTTCCATTAGTTTACCATGGCTGTCCCTCTTTCATTTGTTTACCATGGCTGTCCCTCTTTCATTAGTTTACCATGGCTGTGCCCTCTTCCATTAGTTTACTATGGCTGTTTCTCTTCCATTAGTTTACCATGGCTGTTTCTCTTCTATAAGTTTACTATGGCTGTTTCTCTTCCATTAGTTTACCATGGCTGTCCCTCTTCCATTTGCTTACCATGACTGTCCCTCTTCCATTAGTTTACCATAGCTTCCCTATTCGATTAGTTTACCATGTTTGTCCCTTTTGTATTAGTTTACCATGGCTGTCCCTCTTCCACTAGTTTACCATGGCTGTCCCTCTTTAATTAGTTTACCATGGCTGTCCCTCTTCCATTAGTTTAAAATTGCTGTCCCTCTTCCATTAGTTTACCATGGCTGTCCCTCTTCCATTAGTTTAAAATGGCTGTCCCTCTTCCATTAGTTTACCATGGCTGTCCCTCTTTCATTAGTTTACCATGGCTGTCCCTCTTTCATTAGTTTACCATGGCTGTCCCTCTTTCATTAGTTTACCATGGCTGTCCCTCTTTCATTAGTTTACCATGGCTGTCCCTCTTTCATTAGTTTACTATGGCTGTCCCTCTTTCATTAGTTTACCGTGGCTGTCCCTATTTCATTAGTTTACCATGGCTGTCCCTCTTTCAATACTTGATCTTCCATCAATCTTTTATTATTGTCTTTAATTGTTATTGCGGCGTCCGTGGCTAAGGCGTTGCGAGTCCGACTCGTGAGCCAGCATACCGCGATCGAAACCCACTGCAGGCTGCGTGGATTTTTGTCGTGGTATGGGACGTCGCAGGTCAACCCAGCCTAAAATGGGTACCAGGATGGGCGGTCCTGGGAAAGTAAAGACAGCCGGCGTAATGCTGACCACATTACCCACAGAGTGCTGATGGTCTGTAAAAATATGGGACGCTCTGCCCATATGCCCGATGCGCCGAAAGGCGTAAAAAGGGATCTTTACTTTACTTACTTATAATTGTTATTTCCTTATTATACTGTGCTATGGTTGTCCTCCTACTATTACATTTCTATAACAAATATATAATGTTGGTAATTTGTTAGGATTGTGCAAATGCTATTTATGTTTATAACTGTCAAGCTCTAATAATTTGTCATAATTGTTCAGTCTTTAATATTTTATGATTGACTGAGCTTGTTGCTTTGCTGATAATGTTAAAAACATTACAATGACACTACTACAGTGAGCAAGGCTTACCCAAGTTACATTCTGTTGTTCTACACAGTACTCTGTCGGCGTTCAATTCTACCTGTGCCCGGCCAACAATGGTCCTCTTCATCTTGTCCACCTGTGGCAGATAACTTTGAAGCAGCTGTTCAGTCTCTTTGTCTAAACAAATCAGAGATATAAAGTCTCTATAGATACAACTCTGTTATATCTATAAGTCTAGTATAGATATAAATGTGATGAACACTGAGCATGTTGCAGAAGGGGGGGGGGGGGGGGGGGGGGGGAGGTTGCAGCGCTGTAGGATGTGTTCTAAGTATTTATTTTGTTTCAGGGTATTGATGATGCTGTACAAAGAATATGTAATCTGTGATCTTCTGCTGCTACATTGTATAAGATAAAACTGATACTTCTCGTGTCTGCCTAGGCTCTGTCACCCCCCCCCCCCCCACGTGACGACCAATCTGGAGCCCCTACTAAATAAAGTATGTTGTCGTCGAGCCGTATAAAGTAGCAATTTAAGATGTCTCTGTAAAGAAGAAAGAGAAAACAGTTAACTGCAATGAAGATATATGAACAGTCACTATGCAGTTGTTGTGGGTGTCAGCTGGAACATAGCAGGCTAATGTGGAGTATAGCTGTTACCTGTACGAAGCTTGGAGTGTGTGTTTGTCGCGGCAGCCTAATTAGAACAGTCAGCATGCCTGAACGACCGAGTGACAAGCTTACGTTTGGTTTACCGGACACATGTTGGACTTTTGTTAGCAGGTGGCAGAGGAACACTTGCAGACAATTCGGACACGATGGACTTTCAAAGGGTGAGAAACCCGTTTCCACTAGAAACCCGGACCAGCTCACCGAGGCCCGTCCCCTACGTTGTTGCGTTGCGTCCAAAGCCAGCTCGAGGCCCTTTCGGCTGCCTCGCCCAGTTTTTTAAGTGATCGTTTCCGTTCATTACCGCGCAATCCTAGTTCTTTAACCACAATGTAGAGCGAAGTGGAAACGAGGCCTCTCGCTCCCACTTCGACGGCAAAGACCCGTACCGTGTACGCCTCGTTTCTCCTCAGACCGGCTGCTAAATCACTGTATTTCTCGAGCTTATACATGTGATTCTCTTCCATACGCGACTCATACGGGACAGTCAGCTCAATCAGGATGAGCTGCCGTTTTTGCGCAGAGTGGAGAACTATGTCAGGTCGCAGGCCGGTCTTCCGGATTAACTCGGGGTACCTTTCATGGCCCGGCAGATCAACCGCCAGTAACCAGTCCCTCGCAGAGTCTAGCACAGATGGAGCGAATGCGTTTCGGTTGACCTTACCTTTTGGAACCTGCCCAGCCTTGAGGAAACGAATGGGGACGATGGTAGAACTGGCTCTGGCGTTAGCCCTCATTCTAGCCTGGTCAACAACGGCTGCTAACTCTTTTAGCACCTTGTTGTGTCGCCAGGTATATCGGCGTGGACCTAGGGCTTTCCTGCACGCGGACAGGACTTGTTCTAGCATCTGCTTCGCTTTGCACAACGGGCAAGTCGGATCGTTAGTCGCAGACCATTTAACAATGTTAACACCGGACAGAAGTCATGAGCATAAGTAGAGAGCAACAGACCATCGACATAAAGATTCTAGATCACAGCCTAAAACAAGTGCAAGAATTTAAATACCTGGGAAGTATCTTTACATCCAATGGTAAAATAGACAGAGAGATTGAAGCAGGAATCCAACAAGCCAACAATGTCGCATACCAGCTTGCCCCAATTTTAAAACACCCTGCTGTCCCAGCTGAGATAAAAAGACAAATTATAAATACAATCTTTATACCGACATTAGGTTATCAATGTCAGACTTGGACATTAACAAAAGAACATGAGAGAAGACTAACCACCTGTGAAATGAGATGTTTGAGAATGGCTGCGAATAAAACCAGAAGAGATCGAGTGAGAAACGATGTGATTACAAGAACTATTGGAACCATACCCATCGTTAAATTTATTGAGAAGCAAAGAATGAAATGGTTTGGTCACCTAATGAGAATGGAACCAACGATGCCAGCATCAAGAGCATACAACATGAAAATCGAAACAACAAGAGGCAGGGGAAGACCAAGAAGAAGATGGATTGAAGGAGTCACGGACAACTTGAGACTTCATAACATCACGGCATATGAAGCGACTGAGCGCGCCCTGGCTCGGTTGCCGATCATCTGATAGACTGCGACGCCTAGCGGCACAAGCAGATTTTGACAAAAGAAGAACACCGGACGGTAATACATCGTACGCCGAACGAACGATAAAGCTCAGTCGCAGCGTGGTCATCCGCCAGATCTCACCCCATGTGAGTATTCTTGGCAATGCGCTCTCCAGTCTGACCCAATGGCCCTGCTGCGCCTGCTGGGCTGCTTTCTGAACCCGAACCTCATTTTCGTTGTCCCTTGCCATTTGTATTACCATGTCTCGGCGCCCTTTGACTGAGGCCTTTGACCACCAATTGACCTTTCCGTGCAATAGGCCTCGACGGTCGGTTTGAGTGTATTCAATTATCTCCTTCAATTTTAGTGCATTCTGGGCAGATTCTATCGCATCGAGGACTCAGTCTTTAGAGCAGGCTGGACAGCGATGACATTTGGGTCTGGACTAGGATGTAGTGGACTAGGAAGTAGTGGACTAGGATGTAGTGGACTAGGATGTAGTGGACTAGGATGTAGTGGACTAGGATGTAGTGGACTAGGATGTAGTGGACTAGGATGTAGTGGACTAGGATGTAGTGGACTAGGATGTAGTGGACTAGGATGTAGTGGACTAGGATGTAGTGGACTATGAAGTAGTGGACTAGGATGTAGTGGACTAGGATGTAGTGGACTAGGATGTAGTGGATTAGGATGTAGAGGACTAGTAAGTAGTGGACTAGGATGTAGTGGACTAGGATGTAGTGGACTAGGATGTAGTGGACTGGGATGTAGTGGACTATGAAATAGTGGACTAGGGTGTAGTGGACTAGGATGTAGTGGACTATGAAATAGTGGACTAGGGTGTAGTGGACTGGGATGTAGTGGACTATGAAATAGTGGACTAGGGTGTAGTGGACTGGGATGTAGTGGACTATGAAATAGTGGACTAGGGTGTAGTGGACTAGGATGTAGTGGACTAGGATGTAGTGGACTAGGATGTAGTGGACTAGGAAGTAGTGGACTAGGATGTAGTGGACTATGAAGTAGTGGACTAGGATGTAGTGGACTATGAAGTAGTGGACTAGGATGTAGTGGACTATGAAGTAGTGGACTAGGATGTAGTGGACTAGGATGTAGTGGACTAGGATGTAGTGGACTAGGATGTAGTGGACTAGGATGTAGTGGACTAGGATGTAGTGGACTAGGATGTAGTGGACTAGGATGTAGTGGACTAGGATGTAGTGGACTAGGATGTAGTGGACTAGGATGTAGTGGACTAGGATGTAGTGGACTAGGATGTAGTGGACTAGGATGTAGTGGACTAGGATGTAGTGGACTAGGATGTAGTGGACTAGGAAGTAGTGGACTAGGATGTAGTGGACTAGGATGTAGTGGACTAGGATGTAGTGGACTAGGATGTAGTGGACTATGAAGTAGTGGACTAGGATGTAGTGGACTAGGATGTAGTGGACTAGGATGTAGTGGACTAGGATGTAGTGGACTAGGATGTAGTGGACTAGGATGTAGTGGACTAGGATGTAGTGGACTATGAAGTAGTGGACTAGGATGTAGTGGACTATGAAGTAGTGGACTAGGATGTAGTGGACTAGGATGTAGTGGACTAGGATGTAGTGGACTAGGATGTAGTGGACTAGGATGTAGTGGACTAGGATGTAGTGGACTAGGATGTAGTGGACTATGATGTAGTGGACTAGGATGTAGTGGACTAGGAAGTAGTGGACTAGGATGTAGTGGACTAGGATGTAGTGGACTAGGAAGTAGTGGACTAGGATGTAGTGGACTAGGAAGTAGTGGACTAGGATGTAGTGGACTAGGATGTAGTGGACTAGGATGTAGTGGACTAGGATGTAGTGGACTAGGATGTAGTGGACTAGGATGTAGTGGACTAGGATGTAGTGGACTAGGATGTAGTGGACTAGGATGTAGTGGACTAGGATGTAGTGGACTAGGATGTAGTGGGACTAGGATGTAGTGGACTAGGATGTAGTGGACTAGGATGTAGTGGACTAGGATGTAGTGGACTAGGATGTAGTGGACTAGGATGTAGTGGACTAGGATGTAGTGGACTAGGATGTAGTGGACTAGGATGTAGTGGACTAGGATGTAGTGGACTAGGATGTAGTGGACTAGGATGTAGTGGACTAGGATGTAGTGGACTATGATGTAGTGGATGTAGTGGACTAGGATGTAGTGGACTAGGATGTAGTGGACTAGGATGTAGTGGACTAGGATGTAGTGGACTAGGATGTAGTGGACTAGGAAGTAGGTGTAGTGGACTAGGATGTAGTGGACTAGGATGTAGTGGACTATGAAGTAGTGGACTAGGATGTAGTGGACTAGGAAGTAGTGGACTAGGATGTAGTGGACTAGGATGTAGTGGACTAGGATGTAGTGGACTAGGAAGTAGTGGACTAGGATGTAGTGGACTAGGAAGTAGTGGACTAGGAAGTAGTGGACTAGGATGTATGGACTATGAAGTAGTGGACTAGGATAGTGGACTAGGATGTAGTGGACTAGGATGTAGTGGACTGGACTAGGATGTAGTGGTCTAGGATGTAGTGGACTAGGATGTAGTGGACTATGAAGTAGTGGACTAGGATGTAGTGGACTATGAAGTAGTGGACTAGGAAGTAGTGGACTAGGATGTAGTGGACTAGGATGTAGTGGACTAGGATGTAGTGGACTAGGATGTAGTGGACTAGGATGTAGTGGACTAGGATGTAGTGGACTAGGAAGTAGTGGACTAGGATGTAGTGGACTAGGATGTAGTGGACTAGGATGTAGTGGACTAGGATGTAGTGGACTAGAAGTATGTGGACTAGGATGTAGTGGACTAGGATGTAGTGGACTAGGATGTAGTGGACTAGGATGTAGTGGACTAGGATGTAGTGGACTAGGATGTAGTGGACTAGGATGTAGTGGACTGGATGTAGTGGACTAGGGTAGTGGACTAGGATGTAGTGGACTAGGATGTAGTG